GAAACAAACACACACAGTGGGGATATAGCCAACTTTAACAACATTCTGCTGAAATCCATCTTGTAATACAATATGATAGTTTGGCTTGCCCAATGAAATCATCTGAAGATTAGAATATATTCATATGATTTTTATTTGAGTTTTGGATATGGCTCAAGCCTCATTTGCCTATTTGCCTTCCTTTTTGAGAGAATTGACAAGTTCAAAGTATTTACTGAAATCTATATATTTTGTTCTCGTGAAATAGGAGCTCCAACTTCCACTTTTTAGATTAATAGGAAAATGCATGCATAAACAGAATTAGCACATAAAACTATGATGCTAATGTGTAAAATATGAAAAAAGATCTGATTTTTTAAAAAAGGTGTACTAAACCATTGTTTCTTTTGGATATTTTTAGTTATGAAATCATAAAATGATATGAAGAACACATAATATTCTACTATGGACTTTTTTAAAAAAGTGCTAGGACATCAAGACAAATGAATAGAATTCCTTTCAGAGTCAGTTGACAATGTCAGTTTATGGAACATTTTCACAAGAATAAGGCCTTTCTGGTAAGGTCTCTTACCCGCCACCCTGGAAGAGCTTAGCCTACTGCAAAAAACAAGGAATTCTATTCCTACAGCCTAAGAGGATGGAAAGAGAGATGAAGTTTTTCACTCCTTTTACAAATGAAGAAGCTACGGCACAGGCACTTAATGTGTTTTATTTATCTACTTGTACTTCTTGAGTAATAGAGATCCACTCAGAACATGTCAAGAATCAGTCCCTGCCTGACACAACCGTGCCTTCTTTCACGGTGATCTTGGTGAGCATAAGAAGTCCTAAATTAGCTCCAGATCCTTCGGGAAACGTTTTTGGGAAACTTCTTTTTTGGTACAGAAAAGCTGTGTGGTCACTATATGATCATCCTTTGATCCATAAAGCATCTGATAGCCTGTAAATGACTCTGAACCATTTCTAAGAATCAAAGTATGCTAATTTGTTGCCAGTTTGTCACTAGGCTTCTTCCTGCAGGGTATAGAGTAAAAGAAAACCTTTTAAGCATTGCTAGCATCATACAACAAAAACCTGCCCGTGTATTTTCTGTGTCAGGGTTAAAGGGCTAACAGAAGACTAGAAAAGGAAGATCAACTTTGAGGTTAATTAAACAAACAGATCAAGCAGAATCAGTCTGTTTATAAACCATCTTGGCTCCAAAATGGATTTCATCTGGCTGCTGGTAACATGGTACACAGAACATAATAAGAATAACCTATAATAAAAATAAAGGGAGAGATGGAAGACTGAGGAGGTATGAGCCTGAATAAATTCATATTCCTGGCTCTCCTCTTTCAGAGGCAATTGAAATATGTAGAGGTCAAATAGAGGGAGTGTGTGTTGCGTGTGTTTTATTGCAATTTTAGTGGTGGTTGTGTGTTGTAGATAAAGACATATTTGGGCATTTTAAACATTAAAAAGAAATGACATAAAAGGCTAGGGGTTTGCATCCTAAAGATGCTTCTACAAGTACAGAGCACATTTTGAAGCCCAATTTTTCCAGCACCATTTATTAAAGAGGCTATCTTTCCTCCAATGAGGGTGTTTGGCTCCTTTATCGAAGATGAGATGGCTGAGTGTGTCTGGCATTGTTTCTGCATCTTCTAATCTGTTCCACTGGTCCTCAGGTCTGTTTC